AACTACACAGATCCAACCAGAGCCTGACAACTTCAGTGTACAACCAATCTTACTATAATTTATTCCATGCTTCATGTTACGTGAAGAGAAAATAAAATCCTTATTTTTTTAGTCAATCTGTTATTGGGGTTTTCTGTTTCTTGCAACTAAAAGCATTTAAATTTTTATACATTGGAATTGATTCTCTAATTTTTCTGATCTTTCCTCTAATACTTTCTATCTTCATTTTTATTCTGCTTTCTGAAACATTTATCTTTCAACATTTATTTACCTATATACACATACATACATATATACTTAAGTCTGTGGACATATACATAAATACACACAAAATTTTTGTTAAGACAGGGTCTTGCTATGTAGTTTAGGATGACCTTGAACTCAATATACAGCCCACACTGGCTTCCAACTTGTGGCAATCCTGCTGCCTCAGCCTCCCGAGCACTGGGACTACAGCCGTGCGCTGCCACATCTGGCCACACACATAGCTTTTCTCTGCTATAATAGTTTTAATTTCCAAGAATTCTTTCTGGTTGTTACTTTTGCTTTTTCAGAACAACTGTCAAATAAGAATGGATTGCTATATCTTCTCTTAGCCCTGATGCTAAGTATAATTATTTTCAAGTTTTCTTCTGTTCTCTGCACTGTTTCTGATTTCCTATAGCCTTTTTTGCTCTTCTTGTTCCTGTTAAAAGCTTTCCTCAAATATAGTTATTTTTAGCTATTCCTCAAATATAGTTATTTTTAGCTATTCATTTATATTTAAGAGTTTAATACTCTTCAAAATGCCAATACGAACAGTAACAATCTACAGATTCAGTGCAGTCCCTATCAAAATTCTGATGATGTGTTTATGAAAATAAAAAATCCTTTCTATGGGCCAGGGATTTAGCTCAGTGGTTCTACTGCCTGCCCCACAAGCACAAGGACTTGAGTTTGAGCCCCAGTACCGAAAAAAAAAACCCCTTTCTAAAATTCCTATTAAGTCTCAAGGGACCCTGTTTTGGACAGCTTTCCTGTTCCTAGGATAAAATACCTGACACCTGTAACTTAATGAAGGAGAGAGAGGTTCAATTTGGTTCACAGTTTTGCTCCATGACTGGCCAGTTGGGTACTGTATTCTCTTTTTTTCTTACTTAACCTCTCTCTGTTTCTTCACTTATAAAATAGTGATAAAAAAAATTCCTACAACCTAGCATCTAACTTAAAGTAATTGTAAAGATTAAATAATACATGTGTATCACACAGTACCAAGCCAGAACAAACTCAAAGGTTTGTTGTTAATGATCAGTGTTCAAATAATAAAAACTAGGAAGAGTGTGTGTACAGAGGAGGCTGTGAATCATTGCCATAGTGAGACACAGTGACTGATGCAAACGTGTTGTATCTGAGATGCGGACAGTCCACAAGACAGAAATGGCTGATAAGACAAACTGCTGCTTATACGATCTAATTCTGATTAGCAAGGAATTATCAGTTTCTCATTACTCCTTTGCTTGGCTTCCTTGGATATTCAAGGGAAAGAGACTACATGGGATCCTAGAAAGCACACTAACTAGTTAGAATCCAAAAATAAGAATTCTAGTTTTAGCACTGATATTAACTAGTAATGCAATCTAGGATCGGCCATATATGAAGAAGAGAAAAAAAGAATGGTTTACTAAGCTGATATTTCCAAATTTCCATTTTATTTTTTAAAATTGTTCTTTTTTTTTTTTTTTTTTTGCGACAAGAGTTTCACTCTATACTTTAGACTGGCCTCGAACTCACTATGTAGCTCAGGCTGTCCTCAAAATCACAGAGCTCCTCCTGGTCAGCCTCCTGAGTGCTGGGATTATAGGCATGTGCCACCATACCCACCCAGGATTCATTTTAGAAATGCAAACTTGCTTTCTCATGGACTGGTGAAGATTTGTCCTTTAAAAAGTAGTTGGATTACTAAATTAGAAATTTAATGAGGAATCTCTGAATCTGCGCTTTAAAAACTCTGGCATTTGGAGCCAAATGGTAACCTGATCATTAATAATTTAGGGTTATGTCCACCTATGACTAGTGATTATAGCTAAGCCATCTTTTATATAACAAAGTAGTGGTGAACAGTGTGGGCTGTAGAACCTGACTGTCTAGATTCTACAACCAGCTTGCTGGCTGTGAAACCTGACTGACGTCCAGAGAAAACTAAAGCCAAGGCTTATCTGTGATTAGGAGACTGACTACCTACTATCTCACAGGATTGAGAACAATGACTAACTCTGTAAATTTACAATTGTGCTCCAGGCTTGACACAACCTCAAGGCACTATTAGAAAAGGAAGGCAATGTTGAGCTATTTTAAGATTATAAACTTTATCTTTTATAAGGAACCAGAAACGAATTCTGACGGAACTTGTTCTAGAAAAGATATTTTACAAAATTGCCCCATTTTGCTATGGCAGCTAGTTTTGCTGATCACCAAACAATGTTCTCTCTCTCTTCAGAGGAGTAATATTCTAAGGTTTATAGAGGACTTCTCCCTTACTTAGTTTTTTGTTTGTGTTTTTGTTTGGTACTGGGGATCGAACTTGGGTCCCTGCGGTTGTGCAGCAGGCAGCGAAACCACTGAGACAAATCCCCGGCCCCCTACCTTACTTAGTTTTGATGTTTACCAAATTACCAAAGAATATGCATGTATTATAACAAGTAAAACAAGACTAAGAAATATAGACAAGGAAAAAACTAATTCTCTTTCAATATTTACTCCTAATCTTACCTCCTAAAATAGCTAAGATTACCAGTACAAATGCTTTTTACAAATTATTTTTTCCTTGTTTCAAAATGACTACAAATATGATACTCAAAAGCTTACCTCCAGGTATATTGATGGTGGATTATGCTCCCCACCGAATTTGTCCAATAGGGCCTCTATGTGTTCCTGTGTCAACTTAATCATTTGTTTGATATTCCATACCTAAAAAATATTTTAAAAGAATTTAAATAAAGATCACTTAGTACATGAATTAGAACTTTTTTACATTATACAAAAATGACTTTATTTCTTCCCCCTACGTACTATATAGCTAAACATTAAGACATTGTGTCCAAAATTTGCACTATGACAAATCAACTTTCAAGCCATTTCAAGTCTTAGAGGTTTTGCCACCAATTGACACAATCTGACACATACAGAAAATAAGTAAATAAGTGACAAAAGGAAAACTGAGGAGCACATAAAGCATGGAGTTTCAACTCCAATAGAATGAAGCAGAGTAAGGTGGGCTAGAGTATTTAGAAGAAAGCAAATTTACACTGGACTAAAAATGATTCATAGGAACTGCTAGTTGACATGGCCAAGAAATTAAGTTGTCCACAGTCATATACCCCTTGTCAAAAATTAGAAAAATTGCAACGTAGATAACTATCCAGTATTCCTTAAAGTCTAGAACTTAGATCATTTATATATTGGGGTTTCCCCTTTTTATTATTAAACATCTTTAATTTTTTTCCTAATATTACAACTTTTTACTAGTATTATAATTTATTCTCAACTACAGGAAATTCAAATAATTCATGAGTATTCAGAATAAATCAAGAGAATCTGTTTTCACCTCCAACAAATCCCAGGCTCTCCATCAAAAAGCAAATGCTGTTCATGGTTTATGCTAAGTATCTTTTCATGTTCTCTTTTAGGTAAAATATAAATATATATATATATATAATATACCAATTCATATAATTATACATAAAAATATTTTAATACTTTTCCACTAAATAACAATGCCTCAGAATTCTTTCCAAATCAGTATCAATACTTCTTTTTAATAGTTGAATAAACATTAATTTCATATTTTATGTCATTAATAATTTCAGTGGTCTCCAAGCTTCAATGATTACTAGGAGTTAGGTGACATACATAATTTTAAGAAATCAATGTCCAGATCCTCAACCTCCTTCTGTACTCTCCCTAACTCCACTGCTTGAGAACTAGTTGTGGTTTTTTTGGCCTATCTTCTCCTTTAAAAATCATTATTTTCAAAAAAAACCCCACATCATTTTCCACTTTATAAAAGGCAAAGTTCTTATCCTTCTCAAATATTACAAGATACACTGTTCTGAGATATATAAACTCAAAAGTACCCAACAGCGAGACAATTAAAAGAAAAGAGAAATCCTTTGAAATAAAAAGATATAAATTAAGAGTAGGACCTTATTTTATCAGTGAAACAAATTTCTGCAAGCTTCAGGCTTTATTCATTTATCCGGCTGGCCATCCTAGAATTCAGAAATCTAGTGGTTATAATAAGGGCATACATTAACATGTCTGTTTTAGGACATATAAAAAGTTAGATTTTTTTTTCTGGTAAAAATTTGGGTTGAAAATGAGAACTGCCTTGCAAATTACATAATATGGCAGACATTATCTATAAACTAAGTGATCTTAACCTGCAGTGTTAAGGTTTAACCAAAAAATATACTTAACACAAATATAACACATAATAGAAAGTATGGCCTTTTAAACTACTTATAGTTATATTAAAAAGATGTGCGGACCGGGGATTTAGCTCAGTGGTTCCACCACCTGCAAGTGCAAGGAGTTTGATTCCCCGTACCCCCCCTCCAAAAAAAGATGTCAGGCCAGTGACGAGCACTTGTAGTCTCAGCACATCAAGACATCAACTCAAGTGAAAAGAGATGACGAAGGAAGGAAATTATAGTTTATAGGTGGAAATAAATGAGCAAAAGTGTCTCAAGACTCTTGGTTTATTGTCTTACTAAGGGACATTTGGATTGTTTCATTTCTGTCAACCTCAAACAGTATTTCAGTGAATGGTGCTGAACTGCTTTTCTGGGGCAAAACTATGAGTTTTTCTTTTTGATACTGAGGTATAAGATTCCTGGATTGAAATATATAAATGTATACATACGTATATATCTACATGGTTTTTTTTGTAGTGCACTCAGCGCCTAACAGATGCTAAAGAAGTATTCTACTACTGAGCCACACCTCCAGACCTACATATTTAAATTTTTAATAAATATGTGAAATGGTTTTCCAAAAGAAGAAATGCATCAAGTCTGCAGAGTATGAGTCCTTCCTTTTCTCCACAAACTCTCCAACATTAAATGTTATCAAACTTCTAAACTTTTATCAGCCTGAAAGGGAAAAAGGGATTATATTGCTTTAATTTGCATTTCCTATAAAACCGAGTGGTTTTTTAATGTTTATTACCATTTTATTTTTTGAAAATTCTCTATACCACAGTCCCTTTTATCTACTGAGTTTTGGTTTTTTCAAACCGATTTATAAATACTCTTTACTGTGGCTATTAATCCTAATTCTTCTACAAATATTAAAGTCTTCCACTTGTTTTTCACTTTGTCTTTTTTGTCATATCGTCTTGCTACTCAAAGTGTGGCCATAGGCCAGCATCATCATCATCTTTAGGAAGTCTGTTAGAACTTCAAAATCTCCAGCCCCATTCCAGACCTACTAAACTTAGCGAAATCTATAGTCAGGTATTATACCATTTTATTTTAGGGTGCCTTTGTAATTTCTCTTATCGCCACAAGATGTGAGGTATCTTCTTTTCTCTAACTGTACTTATTCCCTAGGTGACATCATTCATTTTTGTGTCTTTATATGCCTACTATGAACTGATAAAGTCAAAATTTAAAATTCAGCTGTCTTCTCTTAACTCCATGTTTTTTCCAAGTGTCCACTGAACATCTCTACTAGGATAACAGGCATCTCAAATTTAACATGTTCAAAAAAAGAACTTCTGGTCTTCTCCCCAGCCCACCCCCAAAAAGCTAGTATTTTTTCTAGTCTTTTCATGTCAGCAAGTTGCAAACTCCATTATCTGAGTTGCTAAAACCAAGAACTTAGCATCACCCTTAAACTCTTTTTCTCACTAACATCCAATCCATCTCTAAATCCAGACATAGGCAGACATATTCACCTTCTCTACCATTCTTCACCCTGACCTAGGACATCCTCACTTCTTAGTTTATACCAACAGTCTCTGAAGTGGTCTCTCCTGTTTCTTGCCTAGAATGGTTGTTAATAATTTTTTTCATTTAAAAAAATAATTCAACATTGAACAGATACATAATCCAGATATCTGTAAGTGATTTACTGAAAAACAATGTACGTACTTTAAGATATCTCTATCTGGGATTGCATTTTCTGAAAATTGTATGGAAAGATTGACATCAAGCTTTTTGTGTTAATTATTTCTACAGGTCTCCACTACATGAGAAATTAAAACATTTTTATTTGACATAGTAATTTTACACCTTTATGAGGTACAGTGTGACATTTCAATACATATGTATACAAGTGCAATGATCACATCAGTAATGGGCACATTTATCATCTCATACATGCTATCACTTCTTTGTGTTGATAACATTCAAAATCCTATTAGCCATTTTGAAGTATTCAATTAATTGTTGTCAACCACAGTTATCCTACCCTGCTATAGGACCTTAAGTTATTTCACTTATCCAACTATACCTCTGCACCCACTAATCGTTCTCTCTCTGTTCATCCCTCTCCACATTTTCCCTAGGATATATTCCTACTATTCTATTCTTTACTCATCTGAGAGTAATTTCAGATTCCACATATACAGTAAGTAAGAGCATGCAGTAACTGGCCTTCTGTGCCTGACTTATTTCACTCAATATAAATCCTCTAGCTCCATTCATGCTGCTGCAAATGACAGAACCGTTTTCTTTTTCATGTCTATATCCAAGTGTGTATACATATCTAAAACTCTAACTGTAGAGCCAGCTGTGGTGGTCACACCTATAATCCCAGATATCTGGGAGGGTGAGGCAGGAAGATTGCAAGTTCAGGACCAGCTCTTGAAACTTAGTAAGACCCTGTCACAAAAATATTTTTACAACAATTTTAAAAAGGGTTATGGATGTAGTGCACTGTGAAGACCCTGGGTTCAATCCTCAGTACTTCAAAACAAAAACAAAAACTATAACCATAGATCACGTGTCAGTCTTTTACTGAAAACTGACCCCATGTAAAAATCACTACTGATCACAGCGGATCCCAAATAAAAAATCACCCAGGTCCTACAGAAGTCTAGAAGACATTACAGGATTTGGCCCTCTGCTATGTGCTTATCCTCATCTTCTACTGTTCCCCCTCAGGCCCCTCTCTCCAATCACTCTAGGCTGAACTGAATGAGCCAAGTATACTTCCAGGGCAGGATCTTTGTATTTACTATTCCTTCTGCCTAGAACGCTCTTCCCCTAAGGTTTCTACAAGGTCTGCTACCCTACCAAGTTCATTCAACTCTCTACACCAGTGTTACCTTATCAATGAAGTATCCTCCAACCACTTACTTAGATTGATACTATCTGCCTCTATCCCTTCCAATCCCCACCAGTACACAGAAGCAAGCAATTTCTGGTCCCCTCTGCTAACTTTCTTTGTCCTGTAACACATGTGAAAACCATACTATATATATTTTATTTGCTTATGTTATTAATAGCATGCAATCTTTCCAATTCCCAACAGAATGAAGCTCAGAAGGACAGAGATTTTTATCTTTTATATATAAAGATTTAAAAAAATATATATACACATATGGAGAGAAAGGGGGGGGATGAAAAAAATGTATACACACTCCAGGAAACGAAGTATAATTTTATAATATACAATAATAATAATAATATAGTATAATTTTTTTAAACAGATAGTGTTTCCCTCTATGGGGTACTCTAGAGGGTGTTGTATATTGCAGAAAACCCACTACACTGCCAGCTCTTAGAGAAGAAACTGAAAATGCATGAGCAGCAATCTTAATGACCAAGGTTGCCCAAGCAGCAGTTTGCCATGCTAATAAGTGTCTAATGGCCACCACTTTGAGCACCTCTTGTAATTGTAGAGGTCAAAGGTAACTTGTATTAATCTCACAATGGATTAGTGAGTTTAGTATAAAATATTTA